CAAAGTTAAATTTAAAGCCCCGTGGGTTGGATGAAAGAAGCTAACCTAAGGTGGGTATTTCAAAAACAAGAGTCGGAATGGACTTGGCTGAGTCTGATGAGGTCGTTTGTCTCGAGAGATTGGGCTTCGATGGTGGAAGGAGACTTGTGATGTTGATGAGATGATGATGGTCATCCTTTGTGTTGTGCACAGGTATTGAGGTGGTGGGTTTTCGGTTGGGTGTGTAGAAATAGAACAGTAGTGGTGGGTTTCGGATTGGGTGTGTAGAAATGGAACAGTAGTGGTGGGTTTCGGATTGGGTGTGTAGAAATGGAACAGTAGCGGTGGATTTTGGATTGGGTGTGTAGAAATGGGACAGTAGGGTTGTGCGGATGCAATGGTGTTGTGAAGCGAGGTGGAGTTTGGTAAGAGGGGGTGTGGGTGTGGGTTTTTGATAATGCGAGTTTGTATGGGTGGGTGTACATGGTTAGGTACTTTAGTGGTTGGGTAGCAGTGACTTGGGTATAAGTTTACTGACCGGGTGGGCCACGTTGTGGCCCTTTGCACTTAGATGACTGCTTGAGGAGGATTTGGGGACTTAACCGTTTGGAGGTTACTCCGAGAGGCTCCTCAGGATGATAGATCATCTTGGGTGCACGCCTTCGAATCCCATTGGGTCATAGGTACGACTGTATGACCCAATAGAATAGGGTTAAGACTTAAGTGTTCAGGTGAACTCCCCTCCCTTGGCATCGTGCCGGGTGTTAAGCTCTTTGCAGGGGCGGACCTTCGGTCCGCGGGTGTTCCAACTCACACCGAGGTCAGCCTGAGCCCCGGCCACTATCCGTCGAGTAGTGGCCTGCCCGGACCCCGCCCCGAAGCTCATACAGGCTGCCCGGACCCCGTTCGGGGCACCCCGATCGGGGTTTTTTTTATAAAACTGGGCGCCCGGATCCCAACCGAGTAACTCGACGGATACTCGAGCCATGGGCCAAAAAAGGTAAGTTGCCCGTGTTTCGAACACTGGACCAGGGCTTCCGCCGTAAAGTCGGACATCAAGCAGGCTTTGTACACCTCATGGTCCCTAAAGTCTCTGAACCAGATACTGCTAACGTGACTCTGCATCGTTAGAAGCTCATCCTTTCATCTATCGATCTTTTTTTTGCCCTTGCAGACTCCAGAGATTTACAAATAAATCTTAAATATATAATCAATTTATCAATGCAAGCAAATTAGGTTAGGATTAGGGTTACTCCACCATATCCTCACCAAATCACCCGGCATCAATTCACATCACCGATTCCACTGGAACACCGAAAAGTTAAAACAAAGTTACAAAGTTTGAAAATTAGGGTGTTCAAACCTGTGCAAGAAATGTGCAAGACCGACGTGCAAGATCCGTGCAAGATCCGTGCAAGATTTTTTGCACTAATCTTGCACAGTAATTTTTTTGACAACCCGAGTTATTGTGTTCCAAACCGTGCAAAAACCGTGCGAGACCGACTCTTGCAAGTTTTGTGCAAGATCCGTGCAAGTTCTATTCATATCTTGCACAGAACTTGCACAAAACTTGCATGAATTGATTTTGAGGTTTGAACACCCTAAATCTCATTCTGAAATCAAGATCTTCAAAAATTTACCTTAAAGTCATTCTTCGTCAACCAATTAGAAGAAACTTACAGAGTTAGTTCACTGTTCCTTTCTTACCAGTTCGTAGTGATTAATATTATCGATTCTTGATGATGATTGATCACTTTTCCTTATTACGTGTCTTTTCCTTATTACTCGAAATGATTATATATCTTTTTTTTCTTTTTTTAATCATCCTACTCTTACTGATTACCTTTATCGCTCTTCGATTAGTTTTAAATATGTCTCAAATCGACACTAGCAACGTTTCTTCACAAGCGACCACTGTTGATTTAACATCTGAACCGGATACTGCTCATACCGCGAATTCAGATGCTTTAGCTGCAGCTCTTCGTCCAGCAAGCTATGTCTGGATTCATTTTGTCAAGCTCCGAAATCGTCAAGTCAACAAATGTCGCGTTATACTGCCTGATGGATCTCAATGTGGCAAGGAATTGAAGCGCGACGATACCGGCAGTACGAAATCGATGAAGAATCATCTCGAGTCCAAACACGGAATCCAAGATGTCAACCTTCGAAAACAAACTGACATCCTTGCTGCTTTCAAAAAGGTGAAGACCGATCATATGGTAAGTACCATATTTTAATTGTTTCCCTTTGTCTCAGAACGTATCACTTACTATAAGATTTCCAACAGCGTAAACTTGATGCTACCAGCCTTATGACAGCTGTCTCGTACTTTGTGGCCGACTGCGACCTTCCTTTTTCTGTTGTCGATCGAAAATCCTACCGAGAACTCTTGACCCTTTGCAATCAACAAGTCAATGGAATGCTTGTCAAGCGTCATTCAATTGCTCAACACACTCGCAAGGTATATTACTATTATGAAGAATACATCAAAAAACAATACTTGTCTGTCTCTCCAGCTATTGCTATAACTCAAGACGCTTGGACTTCACCAAACAATCTCCCCTTCATGTCACTCACCGGGCATTTCATCACCAAAGACTGGAAATTGATGGATATTACCCTTGGTATTGCCGAGATTAAGGGTGAGTTTTCATATCATCTAATATTTTTTAATTTATTTCACTATTCATAACTAACAGATTCCTCTTCCCAGGTACTCACGATGCAAGCACGTTTGCGAACATCATCCACAAGTATTTGAAAAAATACTCCCTTACTCGGAAGTTGACCGCGATGACCGCAGACAATGTTGGTACGAACGCGGTGATAGGCCGAAAGCTCAGCATGTTACCTGAAGTTACTTTCGATCATACGACCCAAGTCCACGGATGTGTGGCGCACGTCATCAATCTCGCTGCCAAAGAAGGCCTCAAAGAATTTGGAGTATC